CAATCTTAGATGTCTGGCGGTACCTGCACAATCTGTGAACATAGTTCTGAGGGATAATTTATTGTGCCAGTTTTAACCCCTGGAATGAAAGGACAAAAGTCCCATTGACTCCAGCATTACAGAGCCAGATTCTTCCTGTCTGCCTCTTCAGTATTAAATAGCTAGACTTTCTGGTAACTGAAACTCTTTGGAATAAGCTTCTGCCCCTACACAGGAGCTCTTTCTACCCTGCCATATACGCAATGGCTTTCTTTTACTAATACAGAAATCCTTTATGGTTTAATTCCCTCTCCTGCATACTATTCTGGTACCTCTACCAAGCATAGCCCATTTTCCTGTGGAAGACATAGAGCTGTTTCTGCGGGGGTGCGGTGCTGGTGGGGATAAGCCATCCTATGTAACCTTATCAAAATTCTTAGGGCTATTTTAAAAAAAAGTATTATGAGCCATTCCCCTTCTTTCACATTACAGAATGGCATGCCTCTTCTAACACAGCCCCTGCTGTGACTTTGTATCCATTATCTAAAAACAATGGCAATGTGTCCCAACCTCCAATTTTGTTTTATTTGCAAGCAAATATATACAGACTTATTGCCCCATAGCCGAAAGCATTTAATAGTGCTTAAATCCTGTAAAAATCAACAGGAAAAGCGACTAACAGCATAATCCTATATACAGTGGACCCTCGACTTACAGACGGCTCGACTTACAGACTTTTCGAGTTACAGACTTCTCTGGCCGCAAAATTTAACTTCGACTTGCAGCCGGAGAATCGACCTATAGATCAGGAAAAAAACCAAAATGGAACAAAAATGGAACAAAAATGGCTGGTTACGGGATTAATTGATTTTCAATGCATTGTAGGTCAATGGAGACTCGACCTACAGACTTTTCGACCAGCAGCCACCATTCCAATACGGATTAATTCCGTAAGTAGAGGACCCACTGTACCAGCTTTCACCAACTTGCAGCCTTTCCAATCTCTTTAACTACAACTTCCATCACCTTAGCCAGCAGGGCTATCTGGCTGGGGGAGACTCAACTGGTATACATGTCTGTTCTAAAGTACATACACTACTGTATTCAACAGGACTTATTTCCATGTTATGCAGGCATAAGGTTGCAGTCTAATGTCAGTGGGTTTTAAACATACAGTGAGTTTCTGTAGTAAGGAATTTATTGAAATCTTTGCTAATTCTGTGACCAATTATTCTTCCGTGCGTCTGTTAAAGAGGAAGCAAACAGTGTAGATAACATTGCGTTCTACTAGCACCTGATTAATTCTGCTTTGGTCACCGTATGACATGCAAGAACAAGCAAATGCAGTGGCAGAAAGAACCTGATAACAGCAAACAATTCCGGACTCACACATCAGCCTAATTGATTTTGCCTGTGCACATACCACAACACTGCGCCAAAATAAAGTAGCTGCTTGTGCAAACAGGCCTGCCACGTGCACCAGCAATTACCTGGTTTGCAGGCAGAATTTCAGTAAACGCAGGCAGATGTAAAAAGTAAACAGCCAGACATGCAAGGGCGGGAGAAAGACCTGAGTGTTTTAAAGAGATCTGGTTGTAATCTGAAAAACAGATTAAAGCAATTGGTTTTTCTGTTGATGTAAGAATTAAAACTAGCACACAAGTACAAAGTAACAACTGCAGAAAGCATTCAACCATCCAGACAAGCACTGTCCCATCCAGGTAGGACAAAAGCAGACATTATGGATAGTCCCTGATTAGAAAACAAAAATGTGAGTTAGAAAGTGTGTTACAGTAGAAGCTAACCTCGCCCCTGGAATATGCAAATTGTCCTTCTTTGTTTGGTGATTGGTCTTCAGGACTAAAGCATGAGATTCCTTTGAAGTATGCTTTTGCATAGGATGCCTCAATCATCCCTCTCCAATATTAATTTGCCTTCAATCTAATCACCACCTACATTTCTGTCCCTGCTTTCTGTATTAACAGCAGATTGCCAATCACAACTGCAACATCTTTGGATAATCAAAGATATCAAGACAATCATAAGAGATGGGTGCCCATTCTAATGAACAGTAGCAAGTTGATTTTAGAATATTTCCAGAAACATGGTTTGTAATCAGAGTTGCTGGTGGAAACTTGAGAAGCAAAAGTGCAGGGGCTTTCTAGACTGCCATGCAGGACCGTTATCAGCGGGGCAGGAAGGAGGTGCTGAAGCAAAATGCTAATGAAAGAAGGAATGAGTGGGAGAGAGCTCCTTCCTTAACTTTCCACCACCATCCCTCCATTCTTTGTGATCCCTTCTATAAAAACCATTCAGACAAAATGCTTTCTAGGCCTTGATATAATTTTTTTCATTTTCTTTTAACTCTTTCTCCAGGCCTTCAGACACTAGTGGGCACAGTGGTGGGTAATGGGCAGAGCAAAGCCACTCCTACACACCTTACTTCGGAGACAAGTGACAAGATGGCAACATCCTCCCCAGTGCATACACAAACGATGATTGGATTGGCATCCAATACTGGCAGTGAGAAAGCATTCTCTTCCACCACACCAGAAACATTAGGCTAGTTTGGGCCAAATGGCATGCATAGCTCTTTTCTCCAAGGGGAAAAAAGAGCCCTCCCCACCCATATCTGCTCCCTAATGTCACCCCACTTTGCTTAATAGTAGGGCCAGCCCAGCACTCAGACAGGATGTTAGAAATTGATCAGTGGGACCTGGGATCAAATCGCAGCTGAGACAAAAAACTTACCACCCAGGCCTGGAGCAGACAGTATACCTCCCAAGATTGAAAATTATGGACAGCATTTGAAAGGAAGAGTGGGACATGAATTAGCTAGTCAAAAAGACATGCTTAATGAAGGAGAAAAAGGTAGATTCCACTTTCCAAAGCTTCCTTTCACCATGATGTTTTTTTATAAGCTCATGTACATCAAAATGTACACTGGATGCACACAGGTGTGCATTTGCAATATGCAACAGGAGACATTTTATATAACATTTTTGGGACCTCAGGACACAGACCTGGTTTCCTTGCACACCTTGACCATTCTTGCACCACTCACTGTAAGAGGCTGAGGTCCTTATGAACTTTTGACTCATTCTTAGGCTCATTATTTTGCTTAGCTTCATACCTCAGGTTTTCAAATTCCATTCTAAGATGCTCAGTCCTGCCTGGAAGCATGTCACCCACTCTTTACTTTAGGGATGTCATTTCAGTACTATAGAACATGTGTTCTGCCTGCAAATACTCAGGATTCAATTTCCAACATTTCTAGTTTCACACCCTGTGTGGGTGGGGAAGACTTCCTGTCTGAAAACCTGAGGAGATGCTCCCAGTAAGAGGAGATAAAATTGTGTGAGGTGACAGACTGTGAGGTGACAGACAGGGGAGATCTGACTCTAAAATGGTTGCTCTCTATCTGATTTGTAAGCTCAGTAATGAGCAAGGCATCTCCACACAGGCTCAGACTTCTGAGATAGGTGCTGATGGACTAAAATTAGCAGATTGATGAAACAGGGAAAAGACAAGATGGCACTTTTTCGATCCCAAGAAGCACCGCCAACCAAAATATCAGAATGGAGTTCAAGATCTCCAGATACGAAAGGAAGAAAACCTCTAATTTTGTTTGTTTGTTTGAAAGAATGAGATGAAGTGGTATATACATTTGCTAGATAAAGAAATGCAGAAAAGTGGATGGAGATGGTGAATGACTGGCAAGGAGTACCATTTCAAAAAATGGTGAAGAAATATAGCATTGCCAAGCAAGCTTTCCCTCAGTGACTGGCTGCCTAAGTGGACTTTTTAAATGGATTGTTGTACCTTATTGTTTTGAATATGTTTTAGTGTTGCTTATGTTTTTAAGTACTGTATAGTATTCATCTGATCCTTTTTAGTATTTATATACTTGTCGTTCCCTTTAAATACTGTCTTTTAATCATGTAAGCCGCTTTGGATCCTTTTAGGGAGAAAGGCAGGTAAAGGATCTTTTAAATAAATTAATTAATTGTGTGAGCATGCTGAGACCAACATGTGCTCCTCCAGCTATTACTGGATCGCAACAGCTGCCAGCTGTGGCCAAAAACTGCCCCATCCCTGGCCTAGAAAGAAGTTGTCTTATTCCTGGCTTGGAAAGGAAAAGAAAATTTAGGAACCAGCCATCATCAAAAGAAGAGGCAAAGCTTTTGTGCCGGGCTGCTGGGGAAAATTTGAGAAGCAAATAGGGTCAAGGCAGAGCGGGTCTTATATCTGGGGGAAGGCCAGATACTTGTTCAAAGAAATCAGATTAATCTTTTCATGGGGGTCCTTAAGGGCCAGGACACTGGACTTGAGTCAGTTCTTGGAAAAGGTTAGGTCTCTAGACAGACCTAGTGCTGATGTCTAGGATAGCTGGAAGACCCTTTGGGCTCTTTGTAGAAACCTTTGCACCCTTTTAAACTCACACTTTAGTGGACACATCCGGAAGAAACCCCCACATGCAGATTCAGAAGCTGTCAGTTACAAGAACCCACACCACCGTACCCCACATTTCAATATTTGCTAAGGGCATTTGGAAGGAAGCTCTTGGAATTCTCCTGCCCCCAGCCTGGAACAAGGTTGTGAGGTGAGCTTCCAAGAGTCTCATCTCCCCTCAAAGATTTCATCCCTACCTGCTGAGGTTTCAGATCTACTCAATCACCTTCCCTACGCATGTAATATTTCTCCCACAGTGACTGGAATATGCAGGGGACATAGTATGTGTGTGGGGGGGGGTTGTTCTTTGCTGGCAGGTCGGGTCCAACTTGCGGTGATTCTAATAGGGTTTTCAAGGTATGTGAGGTATTTAAGGAGTAGTTTTATCAGTCCTACCTTACAAGTTTCCATGGCCCAGCAAGCATTTGAACCCAGAGCCTCTGACACTCTATCCACTACACCACACCGCCAGGGTGATGGACGGCACCACAGCCACCCAGTTGACTGTTCTTTTCGCCCTCGAGCTCATTCCGCACCTCCTCTCTCCTCCTTACCCCCCCCCACTCCAGGTGCCCTGCGATCCTCGGAGCCCCTCACTCACCTCGGCCAGCTAGAAGGCACGGAGGGGCAGCCACCGAACGCACCGACGGATGGGCAGGCGACTCCCGGCTGGAGCTGGTATAGGTAAGGCCCGGAGCCGGACTGCGGGGCTGGCGGCGTGGCGAGGGGGCAGAAGGGGAGGCAGCCGCTGCGCCCGGCGACCGCGTTCTTGCCGCTGCTGAGGAGTGAGCAGAGCCGGAGGCGCGAGCACGGCATTTGCTCCAGCGTCCCCTCCCGCGAAGGTCTCCGCGAGCCTTGCCCCGTCGGGTAGGGTTGGCGGCGAGGTCACGAGCAGCCCCGAGCTCCCCAGGTAGAAGACCTGCGCGCCCCCCCCCGGCGCCCCACCCACGCCCTGCCATCAGCAAAAGAAGCAGCTAGGACTCGTTAGTGTATGGAAAGGCGACCATAGAAAGGTCCCAAATCCTCCCCCTCGCTCAGCACCCGCCAAGGGAGAGCGAAGTGCCTCCCCTGATCCGACCCGTGGTGTGCATCGCGCCGTGCAAAACGTGGCCCAGATAGCGTTCAAAAATAAACAACGTGGTTGCAACCCGCTATAGATAATCACCCTCATAAACAACTTGGAAGGGCCAACTTCTCCAATGCATTTTTATTTTAGAGGGCAGGTCATAAACTTTGGTATTCTATTAAAATGGGTAGGTAACTTGTACATATCGCAACTTAAGTGGTTGGTTGGTTGGCTGGCTGGCTGGCTGGCAGGCAAGCCCGGGATGCTACTGATTCCCCAGTTTAAATAACTAACTAAGGTACAGTACATCTTGATGGGTCATGCTGCCTAGGAAATCTGGATGTTGTAGTATGAAGTTACATTTTTATCCCTAGTGGGTTTTTTCATACTTTGGGCACTTCATGAGAAGACAAGATTCTCTGGAAAAGACAATAGTGCTGGGAAAGGATAAAGGTGGCAGGAAAAGAGGAAGCCTAAATAGGAGATGGATTGACTCTGTAAAAGAAGTCCCAGGGTTGAGTTTACAAGAGCTGAGAAGGGCTGTTGAGGACAGGACATTTTGGAGATTTCTCATTCGTAGGGTCACCATGGGTCAGAGTTGACTTGATGGCACATAACAAGAACAAGAGTGGCCTTGTTTTGTCTTTCTTCATGTCAGAAGCATTACAGTACAACCAATAAGTATATTGGATAGTTTTCACCCAAAAATAGGCAACATTGAAAGTGTTTGGGCAACTAGCATCAATGCATGTTGAGCAGCATAGAGTGCACTGCCATAAGGATGAAGTTGCAAGGATGACGTCACAAAGGACTGCTTCAGTGTGAAAATCCCACTTTCTTAAGTTCACCTTGGTTCAGCCAACTGCAGGCCATTTTCTTAGATACACTAGGGTGAGCACTGAACAGAGAAAGTGATGATGAGAGGGAGAAAAATGGGCAGACCAGCTGGCGGGGGAGAACCATTAAGAAATGGAAAGAAGGGAGATGGGGTGTAATTAATTGGTTTCTATCCTGGGCAAGAAATCATGAAACACATTAAGATACAGAAAGCTAGAATACTTCAGTTACTGTATGTAATGAAAAATGAGAAGAACAGATTGTTACCACTGACCATCCAAAGCACACAGAGGAGAACTTCATTGAAGAACCTTAGAGCAGTGCTCCCCAACCTTGGGCCTCCAGATGTTCTTGGACTTCAACTCCCAGAAATCCTGACCAGCAGAGATGGTGGTGGAGGCTTCTGGGAGTTGTAGTCCAAGAACATCTGGAGGCCCAAGGTTGGGGACCACCACCTTAGAGGGTAGCTTGGATGCAACACCACATCATTGTTTAGAGTTGCTGCCTCCAAAACTAGAATAGCTAGGTTGCAATCTTACATTCAATAGGAGAGGAGGAGGAAGAGGAGGAGGAAGATTGGAATTAGCAAGATGTAGGTTCCAGTTCCCAGTTAATCACTAAGATGCCTAGGTGACCTTCAGCCAATCACTCTCAGCCTAAGCTAGATCATGGGGCTTTTGCGATCCTATGAGGAGGAGAATCCTTTTGAATTTGTTAGAAGGAAGATGGGATATAAGTGTAACTAACTAATGGTGACGATGACGATGATTCAAAATGCCACTCGTTTTGATTAGCATCTGTGGTGGCCCTTTCTATTTGTTCAACTTCTGAATGCTTTATACATAGCTAATGTCATGGCCTTGATGCATGATTTGCATGCCTGATCTGTCCATGTCATATAAGATTCAAAACATGCATGGAAGGATCTGATTATGAGCATTCACATATATCCAGGGTTTTTGGCCCTGACATTCTTAACCAAACTTTCAAAAATGTAATGTATACATGTCATTTTTGCACACCTGTGCTCCAAAATATCCTACAGATATTAAAAATGGGTATCAGTGGGATACAGCTCAGTGTCACTCACTTTGCAAACAAGAATGGATCGTGTGGGCCATTGGTTTGAGATACTGAGTAAATAACCTGGCTGAAACCTGAGTGTAGGCAATCATCCAGTGTTATTTCTTTATGTCTTAGTTCATCTGGGAATAAATCAGTGTGTGGGGCCAATAATGTGCAGCCCTTGTTTATTTCAATTTCTGTTAAAGATTAGGGGTGTCTTGTCTGTCTGGGCATATTTCCAATTTATAATCATCATCATCCTGTGTTGTCAAGTCAGTTCTGACTTATGGTGACCCTTTTCAGAGTTTTTTAGGTAGAGAGTACATAAAAGTGGTTAACCATTCTCTTCTTCTGGGGGCATCCTAAGGCCACACAGGCTGGTTCTTCTAGGAATGCTCAGCATGGAATTGAATTCCCAATCTGTGGTTCCACAGCCAGATACTTATCTCACTGAACTATCCAGTCAGATTTTAAAACATCGGGTCTCCATGTCTTTGGCTTGCAAGTTTCTCAATCTCTGGTTCCACAGCCAAATACTTATCTCACTGAACTATCTAGTCAGATTTTAAAGCATTGGGTCTCCATGTCTTTGGCTTGCAAATTTCCTTGCACACCAAACTACTTTGCATTTGGGATACTTCCTCTGAAAAAGGACTGGCTGATTTTAAGCTGCAGCCGCATAAATCAGAATGAACAGGAGGAATCATCTGTGCAAGTGTGAAGGGAATCTGACCCAGAACCTGCTGAACTGCATGGAGTTCCTACAAAAATAAACAGGCATGTTTGCCCTATCTCAAAAGGCTTGATTGGCCAATGCATGGACTTGATGTTAATAGCACTTCCATTTTTTAATTATTTAAATTTTTTTTTACAATGATGTGTTTAATTGCATGGAATTTTTAAGCAGGTCAGAATCATGCTTCATTTTAATTTGTCTTTGGCTCTTCATGTTCATGCTTGCACAGGAGAAGGTGGCAAGGAAAGATGTGCTCAGATGGAAATATTGATCATGAAATGTGTCTATCAAATTCTAACTTTATATAATTGAAAGATTATTCACACCTCCTTGGTCTTTTATCTACACTCCTCAATAGACAGGGAGGGGTTTGTTTTTCTCCTTTATTCCACTGTTGGTACGTGTTTGGAAACACTGGCAGAAATTCTATTAGTTTTGCCCACAGCCGTAAACACAATCAGCATAAATCTCACTGGCAAATTGCCACAAGTTAAGAAGTCGGTGTAGGGCATTTGCTTGTGTGCACTGAATGCCACCACTCAGCACACAATAGGAAATATCTGTGTGAACTTTATAACTTGCAGCAGTTCACTGCTGAGATTTATACTGATGGCATCATGCCAGTCTAAACATGTAACAGGCCATTCTTTAACAATGGAGATAAATAATAAGAATGGCTGGAGCAGTGGGCACAAGAAAATCTTGCTCAGCAGCGTAAGAAGCAGAAACCTTATAAGAATTCTTTTTTCATATGATGGTAGGACATCTCATCTAGTGAATTTATGGCTTGGTTTATGTTGTTTATTTGCAAATACTGTAGGACTGCTGTATCTGCAATGAATTGGTTTCAATCCTCCCCCATGGATGGTAAAACCACAGATATTAGCAAACACATAGTAAACACTCTGCTTTTAAACTTATGATAGATTAGAATAATCAGCTGGTTCCATTGATCCTTCTGATGCCTCCCGCAGCTGGTTCTCTGGGGTTTTTCAGTCCAGTTCTTGAGGCTATCAATATCTTTTTGAATGTTGTTTCTGTCTTCCCAGGTATTAGCTATTCCGCCCAATTCTGTGTCATCTACACCCCTCATCCAAACAAAGTTTAGGGATATTCAAACTCCTTCTGAGCTGAAGACATGACATGGTGTAGGTACGATGAAATAATAAGAGTACAATAGTCAAAGCTTTGTGTGGGTTCCATAAAATCAATGACAAAAGGAAATGAATGCCCTCTAAACTTAAACACATACCACGTGGCAGAAGAAGTTAAATTCCCATGACTAACTGCCCATTCATTTTGCAGAATGTAAATTTAAACCAGATGATAGGTTTTGGGTGGTCATCTCAGTATTTGAAATAAGGGCAAATGTGGATAATTCAGCAAAATGTTTATGCACAAATAGGTGTTTGAGGAATGTGGAAAGGACAACGTAAATTTGAACCACGGATTTGGCATCCAGAGGCACAGAGTTTAAATCATACGTCAGAAGATAAACCAGAACTTGGTAACATTCTTGTTACTTTTTGGACTACAACCCCCAGAATCTCCTAGGGTCGTCAGTCTGGTGACCGGCATCTCCAGTGAGGTATTGGCAAATCTTCTAGGAAATAGTTCCCCTTTTCTGGTGAAGGCAATACTGAGCTACAGTATATCACAAGTGAGTACACCCCCTCACATTTCATAAATATTTTAGTATATCTTTTCATGTGACAACACTGAAGAAATGACACTTGGTTACAATATAAAGCAGTAAGTATACAGCTTGTATAATACCGTAAGTGTGCTGTCCCCTAAAGTAATGCAACACACAGCCATTAATGTCTAAACCGCTGGCAACAAAAGTGAGTACACCGCTAAGTGACAATGTCCAAATTGGGCCCCAAGTATCTATATTTTGTATGGCCCCCATTATTTTCCAGCGCTGCCTTAACCCTGTTGGGCATAGCGTTCACCAGAGCTTCACAGGTTGCCACTGGAGTCCTCTTCCACTCCTCCATGATGACATCACAGAGCTGGTGGATGTTAGAGACCTTGAACACCTCCACCTTCCATTTCAGGATGCCCCACAGATGCTCAATAGGGTTTAGGGTTTAGGTCTGGAGACATGCTTGGCCAATCCATCACCCTTACCCTTGGCTTCTTTAGCAAGGCAGTAGCCATTTTGGAGGTGTGTTTGCTGGCAGCACTCATACGTCTATTTCCCAAAGCCAACCTCTGGATGTGATGCTGAGCACAGGCACTCAACCTCTTTGGTCGACCATGGCGAGGCCTGTTCTGAGTGGAACCTGTCCTGTTAAACCGCTGTATGGTCTTGGCCACTGTGCTGCAGCTCAATTTCAGGGTTTTGGCAATCTTTTTACAGCCTAGGCCATCTTTATGTGGAGCAACAATTCGTTTTTTCAGATCCTCAGATAGTTTATTATCATGAGGTACCATGTGGACCTTCTAATGACCAGTCTGAGAGAGTGAGAGCGATAACACCTGCTCCCACTTCACACCTGAGACTGGTGACACTAACGGGTCTCATGACACCAGGGAGGGAAAACGGCTACTTTTGCCCAATTTGGACATTGTCACTTAGGGGTATACTCCCTTTTGTTGCCAGCGGTTTAGACATTAATGGTTGTGTGTTCCATTATTTTGAGGGGACGGCACATTTACACTGCTATACAAGCTGTATACTCACTGCTTTATATTGTAGTAAAGTGTACAAGTGTCATTTCTTCAGTGTTGTCACATGAAAAGATATACTAGACAGAGATGTGATAAGCCATCTGGTGCAATCCTTTTACCTGCATGCAAGGCTTGTATGGTTTTGGGGCAGGAAACCACACCTCCCCCCATGACCCTGTTTGTTTCTCCCTTTAAAAGGAAATAAATACATAAATACATAAATACATAAATAAATAAATAAATAAATAAATAAATAAATAAATAAATAAATAAATAAATAAATAAATAAATAAAGATAGATAGATAGATAGATAGATAGATAGATAGATAGATAGATAGATAGATAGATAATCAGTCACAGCTTTTTTATTTTTATTATTTCAAAAGTAAAACAAACGAATAAGGACAAAATGACTGAGAACACAATGCAATGAAACAAGATACAGAAGAACATTAGTAACCCAAAAAAGGAAAAGGAAAAGAGAAAAGAAAAGAGAAAGAAGGGGGGAAGAAGGAAGGAAAAATATACTGAGATCTGATATTTAAAATTGTATCTGCACATCATTGTTCTCTGTAGATCATGCATTCATATTTGTTTATTTATTTGGCTTATATACTGCCCCTCTGCTGGACACACCAATATGGGTGGTTTGCAAATTAAAAATATGTCAATACTGTTGTAGCGCTCTCTATCCATCAAGTTATTGGGTATGGGCATTTGTCTTTCCAACCTGTATATGCTTCTTTGCAACACTGAGAACACTGAGTCAACACTGAGTCAAATCATCTCAATGGCAGCAACTTTTGGAAAATCAGAAATGCTTAATTTACAAAAATGGCTTATGACATTGTCAGCCTTACATGGTGTAAGTTATGCTGCTGGTTTTTAGCCATTGTATAATTTGCAAACTAGCAAAACAGTACAGTAATAGTGGAACAGTTTGAATTACATTTTCAAAATGATGCATATGGAAATCAGTTTTATCATGTATTCCATTTATACCCCACCTTTCCTCCGCAAAGTAGCACCCAGGGCTGTTTCCAGTCTCTATAAAACCATTTTTAAAAAAGAAAGAAAGAAACCAATTTTACCACAAAATCTTTAGAATAAAATAAAACCAACACAATCATAAAAACCAATTAAGTGCATAGCTTAAAGCACAGTAAATTAAAAATTGGCTGAAATCCTGTTGCACAATTATGGAAACGTAACTTTTAGATGCCAACTGCTGTAAATTAAAAAAAAACTCTTGATAGATATAATCTGTTACACACTGAGACACATGACTCAGTATGCAAAAGATAGTGTTTGTGGAGGTTTCGTAATTTAATAGCAGTTTGCTTCCAAAAGTAATGTTGCTTGCATAACTACACAACAGGATTTCAGCCACTATGTGCCAGTTTTGTTATTCTAAAAATGTGTTTTACACTATTCTGAATAGCAGTGAGAGTAATAATTGACTGCAGTTCTGAAAGGGGGGCATGACACAAGAGGAGCAACACACAGGAGAAAGCCCTCTCCTGTGTGTCTGCTATGGTGGCCTCTACAAATGTAGGTATTGAAGGCTTCTCTTGAAAATCCTGACATCTGAACATGTTCCTAATGAGCTAGACAGTTGAGATAAGCAGGGTATGAGCAATTTTAGGGATTTAAAGGTTAAAATAAATATCTTAAATTGGGTGTTAAAATGAAAACAAAAGTATTGTGGGTGAAGTTCACAACTCATGGCGAAATGTTTTGCTCTGTATCCAAGAAAGTGAATTTTGATCCATGAAAGCTCCAGTGGAATACACCTGTTAGTCTTTAAGGTATCACAATACTTTTTAATATTAGATACACCAGTTTGAATTTGATGTGTCCTTTTGGCAAAAAAAAGGGGGCCAAGATCCAGGAGAGTGCAAAGGATGAATTTCAGCACCAGCAAAGTATCTGTCTTTTTCCAGCACAGCTATTAAAGGTACAGAAGCACTGTCCTCTTTTGTACCTGCTTACCCTGCTTTGACCCCTCTTAACAATGTCTGTTTGTCCAGCTGTATTTAGACAAATCCAGCTGCCAGAGAGTGCTTGGAACACACCAAAAAGATACAGTGGGATCAAAGCTGTCATTACAAGAATTGAGAAGGAGAGTAATTTGCAAGTGCAAAACATATCAAAGAAGAGTTCGCCCAGCTTTGACATTTTTGAACTGAAACCAGCATCTGGTAAATTTAGGCCACTAAGCCAAATCAGTTCATAGTGCATGATGTGCAACACAAGCCCTCACATGTTTACTCAGAAATAAGCCCCTTTGTTCTAAGTGGGGTTTTCTCATAGGGGTGTGTGCCCAGGAGTTCAGTCTTGTGGTTCATACATATCTAAGCTTTAGACTTACATCAACGGTTCTACTCTGCTGCTCTTTGTATAGATCCAATCCAGAGCAAGCTGACCCCCTCCGAGACAGAGTGCGCAGACATCTCCAATTTCCATCCAATCATACAGTGCTGATCCTGCATGCAAAGGTGGCTCAGAAATCGTATGGCAATGAAAAAAGGTAGGAAATCATCTTTAGCTTTCTGAATGCCACAGAGGTCTCTGCAGTAGAGAAACAACACAGATGTGTATGTGTACATACATGCATTGAACGTGAAGTGCTTTGTGTATCTCTTCATTTTTCCAGTTAATTTATGCCCACATCTGTTTTCCCAAATAGCTGAATGCCTTTCCTTACATTCCTTACACTAACTTCCCATTATCTCACAAGCGCATGAGGCTGTCCAGATGTTAGTCCACAGTTCTCATCAGCCATCCACAAATCACAAGAAGAAGAAACTGTGTGAGGCGCAGACCCTCAGCATCAGGAGGACCACAAGAGAGAGAGAGAGAGAGAGAGCAGAAATTTCTGGCTCCATCAGGACAACAGAAGCACAGTCATACCTCAGGTGTCACGTTATCAGTTGATGCTTGTTGGTGACACTGTAATGACCTGAAAGGGATTCTTGTTTATTTTGGTAGATCTTAAAAGCAACACTTTCTGGGATTTTTGACTCCCAGGATCTCCCAACCATTATGACCAGTGTCTGTGCTTAGTGGGAAATCTGAGGTGTCAAAAAAGAGTGACTTTTCCACATTCTCTTTTTTTGCATGCAAAAGAGGTTTTTTTGTGCTTGAGTGAGAACCTGGCAGTATTGCTTTCATGAATGGCATTAGTCAGTCCAAAAGCATTGGTTGGAAAGAGGGTTTTTTGCTTACTTCTGCCTGGGGAAGAAGAAGTCACCCAGAGTTTTCTGTGCCATCACAGGGTGAGTCCTGATTTCCAGATGGAGCTGGTACCTGGTAGCTGGATAAAAAGTAGTTGCTCAGCTGAAATGAAGAAGTTTCAGGCGTCTTCTCCAGGGTGGCTTTCACATCTTCATTAGCACATGAGAACCCTTCTGAAAGACCTGTGTACACAAATCGCTCTGGAGTCCTGCCTTATTTCTTGATGGGATCAAAATTTTCCTGGTGCTATTGTTGTCTCATATGTTATAATTCTCTTTGGTCAGCTTGTCCAGCCATGCAACTTGCCAAACACAAAACAAATCCCAAACAACTCATTCATGTTGCTTTTGGACTAACCACTGCAGCTGCCCTGATCAAACTGTTTGGGGAACTGCGGAGGCCACCTACCTTTTCTGTCAGGAGATGAGTGATGGTCACTCCCAGCGCCTTTTGTAACAATTCAGAACACCCTGGTTGGTGCCTGATGTCCAAAAAGAAAGAACACTTTTTGGCTATGTGAGAATTTGGAGAAAAACATTGTTCAGAAGGATAGATTTTCTTCCTTGATGAGGACAGAGCTTGGAATGTTACATTTTTAAAGGAACTCACTGCATTGTGTGTTCTTTCCTGGCATAGTGGCATCATCTGCCATTATTGTGATCTTGTTGTACAAGTAATTTTTTACATTGCATATAAATAAAACATTGTGTTATTACCAGCAGGACAGGAAAATACAAAGACACCCTGGTTCCTGCTATGGACCAATTCTTCTTTTGCATCTTGGCAATATTTATAAAAAGATAACTTTCCTGGTCATGTAGGATTGATAAGAGTAATAACATAAAACATGGAGGGGAAAGCCTCTAAAAATGCCTTAAATTCCCCTTAAAGTAACTTTTGAAAACAACTAGATATAATTTGTTAACAACCTAAAAGGTCATTTTGTAAATAATACAGTAGGACCCTCTTATCCACAGGATCAGTATCCACTGATTTATTTATCCATATTCTGAAAATATTAAAAATATTTTTAAAAATCCAGAAAAAATATTTTCATATGTATTACCAGAACCAGACATAGCATAGTCTCTGGCCCTGTCTAATGGCTAGTTTTAGTAATTCATGTGAAAATAATTTTGTTCTACTTTTTTTTCTTTTACCATGCTTTCCCAATGACAGACAGACAGACAGACAGACAGACAGTGTTTGCTGTTATCCCCAGCAGATATGAATGTCCTACAGTAATTACATTACTTGGTACCCAATAAGAAACTAGTTACAGGTAACTTGCTACCCAATAAGAAACTAGTTACAGGTAACTTGCTACCCAATAAGAAACTAGTTACAGGTGACTTCCAAGGTGTGAGAGAAGATGATTTGATATTGTTTTTTTTTAACTAGAACTCCCAGAATTGAATGAGCTTGAGTCCAAAAATTAAGTTCCCAAGCTTGGGTGTTACTTTGCTACGTGAACACGTTGACTGATCTTTTTCCCACCACAGTATTCAAACTCAAGCTGCCTATTCCTCTTATCCTACTATCCCCTTTCCCTGTAAAACAGAAGCACTAGAATGTCCCAGAAGCTGGTTTAGATCACAGGTGAAGAGATCTATCAGTCACCTTCTTTTTTCTCCTGCAGACAAAAAGTATGTCCAATTGGCACATGTTTTGAAAGGTGGTATAATTCCAAGCTTTTTTGGTTACTTGTGCTCTAACACAAAAAATGTCTTTAAACACTGGATTTTTTTTTGTTTTCTTTTGGCCAAATATTAGGAGAAATCAGTTAACAATTGGCCCTAAATCTGCAAGTTAAAGTTTAAATGAGTCAACGTAAGTCCTACTATGCAACTAATTTCTTCAAAAATATTGCTGTGGCTCAGGAGCGTGAAACCACACATTCTGATTCTTCCCCCCCCCTTATAACTAATGTTTTATGTAGTACCAATGCAGCATGAATCCCACCCATTCACATTAATTTAAAAACAGTGGAAACCCAAATAAAATACAGGAAAAGCATGTTTCTAAATCTTTGGACCTCAGTTTATTTGTGTTGGTCAAAGGATTTGGCTGTGAATATAAACTCTGTTCTCAACCTGTTGAGACTTCGGCATTCCAGTCTGAGAAAGTCAGAGGGACAAGTTCTCCTTCTGGTCAAAGAGAAATGAAGAAATGAGCAATTTCCTCCTGTATAATTTCCACCATCTTCTATGGGGCAAACCTGTTAGCTTATGGAGCCCCTGAACAATCTGGCTTGAGAGAGTTGTTCAGAGTGGCATAATGGCAAAGGACACCATTACCTGGTTCTTGTTGTTAACGTGCTGTAAAGTCAGAACCAACTTATAGCAACCTTAATAGGGCTTTCAAGGTAAGTAAGATATTTAAGAAGTGGTTTCTCCAGTTCCACACCCCCAGTGAGTTTCCATAGCTGAGTGGGGATTCAAATCCTGGTTTCCTACTCTATCCACTACACCACACTGGATACCCAGTTCAAAGCAGATTTGACAGATGGTTGTCTGATTTTCTCCTCAAGGCCTCCAGTGTTGGAGCAATTGCCACCTGCCAGGGTAATCAGATGGTTGTCTGATTTTCTCCTCAAGGCTCCAGTGTTGGAGCAATTACCACCTGCCAGGGTAATTGGCAAGGATGTTGGCAAGTCTTTGAGTCTGGGTGTCAAGTCGGCAGGGATGTTGGCAAGTCTTTGAGTCTGGGTGCCAAGTCTGGGTCCGAGTCCAAGTCTGAATCTTTGGTATCAAGTTCCAAGTCTGAGCCCGAGTTTTTAGTCCCAAGGCTCAAGTCCAGGTCTGAGTCTTTGGTACCAAGTCCCAAGCCCCAAATCTGAGTCCCTATGAAAAACAAGCTTTTCTCCCTAGGAAAAAAAGGAGTGGTAATGAAAAACAAGCTTTTCTCCCTAGGAAAAGGGGTGAGTGTGTTTCTGAGTCATGAGTCAAGTCCAAGTCACTGAAAAGAAAAACTTGAGTCAAGTCACTGATGCAACTTGAATCTGACTTGACACTGAGTCCCATGACTGAAATCCCCATCCCTGGTAATTGGGTTCCATTGTTGTACTGCTCTAACAGTTAAGACATTTTTCTGGATATTCAACCAAAATGTGGCTTCCTGTTAATTTAAGCCCATTATCATGTGCCCTGCATGGTGGGATGATCAAGAACAAATCCTGCCCCTCCTCAGTATGACAATCTTTCAAGCTTTTGAAAAGTGTTATCATATCTCCCCCTCAGTCTCCTTTTCTCAAGGCCAAACATGCCCAGTTCTTTCATTGTTTTCTCATAGGGCTTGGTTTCCTGATCATCCTTATTGCCCCTCTCTGAACTTTTTCCAGTCTGTCAACATCCTTCTTAATGTGCAGTGCCCAGAATTGGCTTCCTGAGATGCTAGACCTTTGCTGTGTTCCAGGTCGGAACTTCTGCATGAAACAGCTACATTTGTAAAAGGTGCTATAAGTTGACACTCTTGATCATAGAAAATCCACTAGTGTTATTTTGCTTGGATTGGTGATTCTCCCATTGTTCAGCAAAATTCACTAGCAATGTATTTTTTTTCCAATAATAGGAATGTTGCACTTTTTTACAGTAATACTCCTGTCAGCCTTTAGGAAGATTACTCTTTTGGACTTCAATTCCAAGAACTTCCAACTGGCATGAAACAAAATATTTGCTTTTCTCATCAGGTTTTTCTGCCCACCACCTTGCGTGTACCTCACTGGACCAGGCTGGAAACAAAAGAAAGAAGAGATCAAAGGTATAATCCAGCAGGAAAACATAAGAATAGAATTGCACAGGACACATTTCTGCCTCCAGTGACAGAACCTAGGTTTTCAGAAGAAGAAGCAATAGAGATATGACTTAACTAGAAGGACTGATCCATTTCAGCCACACAGGCCACCCTGATGCTAGCTGTAGCTGGGTTTAATTCCAAAGGAACAGAATTAAGTTGAGGAGGTTATGTGGGAGAACTTCTACTTCTAGGATGTCTCTTGAGAACCAAATGTCCTCAGGGATAATCTGTCCATGGGGAGGGGAGAGAGCCAGAGCTTAAGACAGGCAATGTCACCCCATTTCTCTCTCTGTTTCCACCACCATCTGCATTACTCTCTACCACCTCCTTTACCCCCTCTTATATCCTGCCTGCCTAACAGGTTGCTAGGGAAAGGATAGGTCCCTCCCGGGGAGACCTGAACTGATTACTTGCGGAAGGCTTTTGTAATTTGACCCACCTCAGCTCCACACCAAAGCAGGTCAAGAAGAAGGGAAACATCTTCTGGGCCTTGACTATGCAATTCTGTCACCCTACAAGAGGCTGGGAAATGAGGTGTTGGAAGAGGTTCCTGTGCAGCAGAGTCAGAATTACATAGTCATCTTTAAGCTTCCTAAGACAGGGGATGCCTGTGTCCCTTTGGGCTCCTGCTTCACAAGGCTTAGCCAAAAGCAGTTGCTTCTTGGCCTTATCTGATATAGCCAAATATACTTTCTCCCCCACTGCACTATCACAAGTTGGTCAGGAAATGCCCTTATACCCTGTGTGGTTATCAGCAGTGGCTAAATGGCCCAGGTATAAATCAGAGCTTCACCTCTGCCAGTAACTCACTCGATGGCCTTAGGCAAGCTTTTCTCTTTCAGGCTCAGCTTCTCCAGCTGCAGTCTGTGGAATAATAATGATATCTTGATGCAGAGATTGTAAGGATTATGACAGAGTGATGCATATAAAATGCTCTGAGTACCTGAAAGCACTATACAAATATCAACTTCATGATCACAATCATCATCATCATTGCCCTTATGCTTATTGCTGCTTTGCCCCACTAGGCATGTGATGGCCAAATAATGTTGAACTTCAGCTTCTATCAGCCCTAGCTGTGAGCAATTGGTAGACTGGGATGGAGGGACACCTCACCAAAATTTCTGGGGAACATCCCTCTTGTCCTGATCCTGATCAATCACTGGCCTTCACTAATACAGCCAGTGGTGAAGGGGGGCAGGAGTTGTAGTCTGGCAACATCTCAAGGGTGACACGTTGGCTGTCTATCCCTCATACATGTAGTACCATAGCTAATACTTCCTTTGTTCAGCCTAAGGCTATCCCCGGTTTTCTACTCAGGACCAAAATAGAGAGATTTGGCTTTGCTTTTGGAAGCAATAAGAGACCGATTCCTTTGGAGACCATCTTCAAAGCTATTCTGTTTGCAAAATCAGCCTGCAAGCAGAGCTCATTGTTCTTTCTCAATGGCTGTTGCTAAATAAAAGCTAATTTGCAGCTTTCAAAAAAGTAAAGAAATTCACAAAAGAAACTTGCACATTCTTCACTGCTTAAGACAGCTCCGCTTCTAGTTCTAAAGCCCCTCCTTTAGTTTTGGCCAGGTCATGAAGAAAGTCAAGGGGAGATGTGTCTCCTTAAATCACGATTTACTTTGGCCTCTGCCAAAGTAATAGATGTGACATTCTTAACTACAGTGGGCATGAGTATCCACACCCAACTAGTAGGATGAGAGAAAAAAACCACCATAAAGTTCAGAGTAGTTGGGCTGCAGATGGTGCTGCCAGCTACAGGAAATGTGTTCCAACCACAAGGAGAGTTTTACAGTATCACGAATTGCTGACACATCAAAGGGCAGAAGTAGATGCCAGTATTTCTTCTAAAAAAGAGAGATGTGGGTAGCATTGCTTTATTGAGAAACAGGACCTCTGTGCCTTCTGAGGTGAGGAATAAAGGCTACGATGTTCTGATCACAAAGGCACTTCAAAATTCTTGGGCAGCTTGTGGATATACATGATCTGGTAACAAATCAACCACAAGATTGGGTAATAACTTTACTGGGCCACTAGAATACAATTTAAAAGGTGAGCTTCCTAAAGCAAAGCAAAAGCAAAGTGTTCTGCTTATATGCCACCCCATAGTGCTTGAAGCACTTTTGACGATGTTCTGATCACAAAGGCACTTCAAAATTCTTGGGCAGCTTGTGGATATACATGATCTGGTAACAAATCAACCACAAGATTGGGTAATAACTTTACTGGGCCACTAGAATACAATTTAAAAGGTGAGCTTCCTAAAGCAAAGCAAAAGCAAAGTGTTCTGCTTATATGCCACCCCATAGTGCTTAAAGCACTTTTGGGCAAGTTTGCAATTTAATTATGCAGGCTATACGTTGGTCCCCCGTAAGCTGGATATTCAGTTTACCAAACTAAGAAGGATGGAATACTGAACCAACCTTGAGACCTTGCAATTTAATTATGCAGGCTATACATTGGTCCCCCAGTAAGCTGGATATTCAGTTTACCAAACTTAGAAGGATAGGATGCTGAACCAACCTTGAGACGGCTATCTAAATCTGCTGAGATCGAATGCAGATTGTGAGCAGAGCTTTCACTGCAGTACTGCAGTTTAACCACTGTGCTGCAAAGCTCCTTTCAACCTGTCATCAGGTTGGGCATTACAGAATTTGGGGTGGGGGAAGAAGGAGATCATGGACCACAATACTGGGTTTGTCCCCTGCTTTGTCTTAGTAGAAAAGTACACACTTTTGGGGGATGGTCAGGTTCAAAGACAGTTTACCATTGCCCCTAACAGGTGCTGGGGCTTCCTAGAGGCATCTAATTGGACAGTATGAGAAATAAGTAGTTAGACTAGGCAGGTCGATCATCTGATCTAGCAGTGTTTTTCATATGAGCCTTCAAATGTCCATCTTACAGGACATTTGCTTCAAGCGAATTACACGAAGTAGCAAAAGAAGACATATAATCATACGACATTTACAGGACATTTGCTTCAAGCGAATTACATAAAGCAGCAAAAGAAGAAGTATAATCATACAACATCTCTGTATTAGGAGGAGGAAGGATCTGCACATTTCTATGAGGAAATAAGTTTCACATGCACACACATAAAATTCACACACCTCTTCATACCTGCAAGCAAGCCCTTGGGTATTCTCTTATTTAACATGTGTGTACACGGAGGAGGAAATGGGAATCAAAAGGCATACACTGAAAGGGAACATATGCCAGACGATGCATACTAGGAGAATTGGCTTGCTGAAAATGTTAGCATTTTAGAAAACAATGGACAAAAATGTGTACACATTTTGTCCAGACTTTTGAGAAACGTTCACTGACTGATAGAGAAATAAGATGAAGGAGAACTTGTGCTTGAAAAAAATATGTTTGAGGAAGTGAAAGAGGCAATGCCCTAGTAGCCACCTTGCCATCTGAAAAAAACTGGTTCACTAGGTATATCCCCGTTTTGAGTGCCACAATGGAAGAAATGTGAAATATAAACAAATAATTCCCGTACTTCCTTGAATGTTTCACACATTACAGTGGGAGTATGGAAAGAGAACCCAGGGGTAAGTGACACTCAGGCTTTTGACAATTCCAGGAGTTGTTATGATATCTCACCTTTTCTTGCTTTTCTAGCCAAAAATCTAACAGAGACCAGTTCCAAGGTTTGTGGGTATATAGGACTTGACAGCCTGGCTAGCAGTCAGGTAGAGACCCAGAAGTTAATCTTTGAGGAGCAGCCAGATTCCAAGGTAAGCTGCATACTGTACAGTGACTGTTCAAATGGGAGAAATAAATGTTATACTATAAAATCTAGTTCTGGATTTCAAAATGAGTGAGCCTTCTGACTTTCCAGATGGAGTTGGGGAAGTGAGTTTGTCAAGAATGAGAACGTTTATGAGTCTTAGTTCTGTCCACAATTGAGGGTTTGTGTGCTCATTCTTTCTTTTAAGCTAGTTATGGCTTTTGTTGTTCTTTACTGCTAATTTCAGTAATTGAGGGCATGATCCAATCAAATACTGTAAATTTATTTCAGTAGAAGAGCAAAGCATACACATGCATAAGCTGTTTAAATCAGTAGGACATTGGTTGGATTGTGTCCATCCTGTCCTGCTTACACAGTTTTAAAAAAGCATTTTATATTCAGTAAATTGCTATGAATTTTCACGTCATGCATAGTAGAAATTGTCGGTTGTATAATGGTAGGCACTGAAACAAGCCCAAAGCAGACTTGCTGACATTGACCATTGTGTGAGTTTCGCGGTGAGCACTGAAACAAGTAATAGCCAAACTATCTACTGGAGACATTTCTCAAGAAAACAGTGCACAAAAGGAGATAGCTCACTTAGCTGCATGGAGTTCGATTCCCCACTGTTATTCCCGGGGAAGAGCTAGCATGTGTGACTTCAGGCAAGCTACCCAGTCACTGAGCAACACCAAAAAAAGAGGGAGGGATAAATGTCTTCTGAGTACTTTATACCTAGAAAGCCCTGAGAAATTGGCTTGATGGCATATAATTATATAATCAAATATATTGCTCATTCCCATCTGGCATATAGAGGTAATATATCATCCTTTTTAACTACCCTTTCATGATCCTTTTTACAGTCTTCATAGCTATCTGTTTTAATTTATCCTGCTGGTTGTCGTTGTAAGCAGCCCCGTATCTCCAAGAAGATTTATGGGGGTGCCGGAAATTGGGACGAGTACGAAAACCAGACAAACCTCTAACTGCTGAGCAGAGCCACTTGAAACTCAGCCGGGTTCTGTCTAAATTTTCTTCCTCAGAGGCCAATCTCCTTATTAAGAAAGCAACACACACAGACACATACTCAGAAACAATCTGGCTCTATAACTTAGGGTAGCAAACACACGTGGCCAATTAGACATTCAGCCCGTCTGTGCAAGGACTAACACCTGCAGTTTCAAACATTACTGCTTTATTGAAAAGATTTGCTTTAGAAAAGATTTCAGTTGATAGTAAAATAGTTTAGTAGGTACATTTTCATTCAAGACCAACGGAACACTCCACTCCCCCCACTCCAGCTGAAAAAATAAAGAAATGAAACTATGCTAACTAATATAAAGGATAACATAGTCCATCTCACGTGTCTTGAGTCTTCAAAGGCTGATGCTAGATGAAAACCAGTCCAAGGTAGGAAAAATAGTCCATTTAGGGAAAAGCACGTGTCTGCCCCTTTCTCAGGCAAACTCCATCTTTCTTCCTCACTCTTCTTCTTCCCAGAATGCCTCCTGGGTCTTGTTGTCCCGCCTAACTTTCTCATGGAGCTTCAGTTGTTATCATTCTTTGTGGCAGAATTATTTTGACTACGAAAGTCTCTGCTCTCTACTCAGCTTAGCAACGAGATAACCAGAGAGCGAAGCTTCTCTGAAACAGCATGTAAAACTTTCCTACTACAGAACAGACTTTAAATCAAAATGGATGCTATTGGGACAATCTTAGGACTACATATCCCATTCTAATACACATAAAAACACAAATCATCACAGTCGTATTTGTTTGTATGTATTATTTTATTTTTACTGTGTTTTGATATTGTGTTGTTTATCTTGTTGTTAGCTGCCCAGAGTGAGCTGGCTGCCTGATGGTGCGGGGAATGAATGAATGAATTGATTGATTGATTGATTGATTGATTGATTGATTGATTGATTGATTAATAAGTGTGTTAAGGACTTCATGAAGATTCATAAATTTTCATATCCTTGACCAAAAAAAAAAGGAATGGGGGGGTGCCTTGGCATAGCAAGACACCTTTCTGAGAAAAATTGTCAACTGCTGCAGGATTTTTCACTCCTGCATGAGAGTGAAAACCAAGGGAGCAGCACTATTAGTCAAAAAAGTGGGATGCACCAAAACCCTTATATTTTACACATACACATTGAATTTGTGTAGTAAACCTTGTATTGTTCACAGGTTTCTTCTGCAAAAGAACCTTTTTGAAATTATTCATTACCACCTGGATAATACAATAAACAAAAAATTTAAAAGTGTGTGCCGATATTTGCTTAAAGGCTATTGTACATGGGGAGGAAGGGTAGATTAAGAGTTCCACTTTCCACATGCATTAATTGGCACCGCTTCTGAATGAGACCATCAGTGTACCTGACTGCTATGGTTCAGATTACACATGCCATGACAGAATCTAGCCAACATGATCTGCATTAGTGCAACAGGCTATAGTCGGAAATACACTTCTCCACCTATCATGCAGTGTGAATGAATGCTAGCTCAGAATCAAAAGAGACATCTCAATAAATCATAGTTTGGAAACGTTACTTTTTGTATTATAAGTCCCAGAATCTCTTGCCCAGGTTGCTCTTCTAGGAGCAGTAACTAGGAAAAACAGAAGTTATTTCTAAATTTCTGGCTCGGAGCTAACAACTTTTCTGACCAGAGCAGGTGGAGAGAGTGAATTTCACTCTTTCTTCCTGTCATAATAGGGCTGAAACACTTTTTTTAAAACTGTTGTTTGCATTGGGAGCAAACAGGTGATCCCAACAGGAAGATTTGCTTAGGACTACAGCCAGAAGAGAAGAATTTAAATCCCCTTTCCAACTACTGTGACCATGCTATCATCCTCTCAAGGCTATAATTTGCATTTTTAAATGTGCACATTAAATATGGAAGGGCACTTAAGGCATTTCTACTATCCTCTATTACATTAGGCTATTTTGGCAATGTTGTTGTTGTCATGGTTGTCTTTGCCATTATTACTATTATTCATACATCTCAATAAATCATAGTTTGGAAACGTTACTTTTTGTATTATAAGTCCCAGAATCTCTTGCCCAGGTTGCTCTTCTAGGAGCAGTAACTAGGAAAAACAGAAGTTATTTCCAAACTTCTGCCTCTAGGCTAACAACTTTTCTGACCAGAGCAGGTGGAGAGAGTGAATTTCACTCTTTCTTCCTGTCATAATAGGGCTGAAACACTTTTTTTAAAACTGTTGTTTGCATTGGGAGCAAACAGGTGATCCCAACAGGAAGATTTGCTTAGGACTACAGCCAGAAGAGAAGAATTTAAATCCCCTTTCCAACTACTGTGACCATGACAACTTTTCTGACCAGAGCAGGTGGAGAGAGTGAATTTCACTCTTTCTTCCTGTCATAATAGGGCTGAAACACTTTTTTTAAAACTGTTGTTTGCATTGGGAGCAAACAGGTGATCCCAACAGGAAGATTTGCTTAGGACTACAGCCAGAAGAGAAGAATTTAAATCCCCTTTCCAACTACTGTGACCATGCTAACTATCATCCTCTCAAGGCTATAATTTGCATTTTTAAATGTGCATATTAAATATGGAAGTGCACTTAAGGCATTTCTACTATGATCCTCTATTACATTAGGCTATTTTGGCAATGTTGTTGTTGTCATGGTTGTCTTTGCCATTATTACTATTATTCATTTGTTGTTGTTACATGATGTCAAGTCACCTTTAACTTATGGCAAATCTATGAATGACTGGCTTCCAAAACATCCTGTCGTCAACAGCCATGCTTAAGTCTTGCAAACCAAAGTCTGTTACTCCCTTAATAGAATCAGTCCATCTCATTTTCAGTCTTCCTCTTTCTCTGCTAAATGCACACCTCTGCACAACTGGATTTTTGTTAGTGGATAGGTGCTAGCATTGAGACCTAGCCACTCAAGAAGCAATTGCCACCAGAACGTGGCTGTTTGAGGTAAATTAATGAGAGACCTAAAGTGAAAACACAAAATACTTTTAGAATTGATGCATTGCTTCATCTCCCAGCTCTAGTGTTTCATGGTCATTTTTGGGAGCTGGGGAGGTGGAGAGACATAGGGGACATGGAGGAAGGTGAACAGCATGGAGAATCAGGCAAAGAAGATGAGATGGCAGCGCAGTGGGATTATGAAGCAACGTTGCTCTTGTTTCCCCCTTATGTCAGCAGGAGGATGAACAAAAGAAATTTTGTCAGTGGATTTGGGAAGTGGTAATTTTTTCTTAACAGAAGTATAAGAATAGTGAAATAATATGCTTCTTTTCATCCGGTTGGATGAGCCCTATTTCTAAACAAGCCAGTATGGCTCAAAAACAAGAAACAGGCAACCAGCCAAGCTGTTTCTGCTGTACCTTCTAAATTCAGAGAAAAATGGCTGAGCTGTCCAATGAAAATGCTTTTCCAGATGGACCCTGTGATCTGACATAAAATCTGGATGTGCTGGAGAAACCTAAGACACAGTGGTAGCCTTTTCCACCCTTACTAGTTCTGATTCTTTACGAGTGGAAGAAAAAAAAAACTTAGCCATATGGTACACGAGTAAAATAAAATACATCAGCCACCAAAATATTTTTTGAGAGAAACAGAGAGAAACAAGTAAGCTTTCAAATCCTTCAGGATTCTTTGCCCATTCCGTGACCACCAACAAATGATTCTGAAGGACTTGATAGCTTGGAGTT